GAGCCCCAGCCCCAGCCCTGCCCCACAGGCCGGTGTGGGACGACGGCTCAGGGTGGATTTGATTTGCATTTCCCTAATTGCTAAAGATGTTGGACATTGTTTCATGTATTTTTGGACCGTTTGTATTTCTTGTGTGGAGAAGTTCTGTTGGATTCATTTGCCCTCTGTTAGCTGGGTCATCTGTCTGGAGTTGTTCGTCTGTCGCAGGTTTCAGCCTCTCTCCGAGACTCGCTCCTCTGGGTTCCCTGTTCGCGTTCCTGATTGGGTTCTTTGTGGTGCAGATGTGTTTTTCATTGGATGCCACCCATTTATTAATCCTGGGCTTATTTCCCGAGCTTTGGGGGTCCTGTTGAGGACGTCATTGCCTGTGCCTACAGGGTGGAATGTCCCCTGCATTTTCTCGTAGGAGTGGCATGGTTTCTGGTCTAACTCTGAGACATTTTCAGTTGACTTTTGTGTGCCTGGTGAGAGATAAGGGTCTAGTCTTTCTTTCTTTCCTTCCTTCCTTCCTTCCTTTCTGTATGATGGATTGAACCCAAGGGTTCTTAACCACTGAATCATATCCCAGCCTTAAAAAAAAAAAAAAATTCTTTAGAGATAGAGTCTCGCTGAGTTGCTTAGGGCCTTGCTAAGTGGCTGAGGCTGGCTTTGAGGTTGTGGTCCTCCTGTCTCAGCTGCCCCAATCACTGGGGTGGCAGGTTGTGCCACCAGACCCCGCGAGCTCMGTCTTTTCTGAGGGTTTTCTAACGTACAGTCACACACCGTGCTTGCCTGGCCCTGCCCAGGGGCCCGGTTTCTCTGTTGGCACCTGGGGGGGAAGACCAGTGCTCTGAGGTGTCCAGGTGCCTGGTCGGCCTCCCCGGGTGACTCACTCCTGGAGCAAGCACCCTGTTGTGGCTCCAGGGCTTTACCAGGGCTTCCTGGGCACCGGCCCTGCCCGAAGATGGTGCCCGGCAGCCTGAGCCGCCCTTTTAAATCTGTCTCAGAAATATTAAGCTCTTCATGGAAGAAGTGTCAGGGCAGATGGGACGAGCCGGGGATGGGTCTCCAGGGCTGTGGGTCCACAGCCAGAAGCAGAAGGGGCGTAGGTGGAGCCAGCTGCCGAGGCCATCTTGGGCAGCTCCAGGCTCGGCCTTGGCCTYGTGGGGCTGAGGGGCCCCTGAACTGAGGTCGGAGGTCGCTGGCTCGGGGGCTCCTGTGCCCCCGATGGGGCCCCGCAGGCTGGCCCACGTGCCGTGCTGCACAGTGGAGCTGGAGAGTGCCCTGGTGGGAGCTGCTGGAGCCCAGGGGGACTGGAACTCTGCTCAACTCTGGCTGCCCCGTGCCCACCCCAGGCCCCGTGGTGAGGACCCCAGGTGAGGACCTGCCCTGGCCGAGGGTCAGAGTGGGGGTGACAGGGCTCAGGGCCTGGGCCACCTCCCCAGCTCCTGAGCTCCATCCCAGGCCTCAAGAATGGGGCCAGAGCAAAACRTGGGCCAGGGAGACACTGGGGTCCGGAGGGGGAAACAGCCGTGGGACCCACGGGTGCCACTGCAGGCCAGAGGGCAGCACCGGGGTGGAGCTGGGGAGGGGTCCTCAGAGACGCACAGGTCCACGGTGCTGGCTTGGGTGTCCTAGAGCCACAGCTCAGCTGTGGGTGGGCCCGGGCTGGCCTGGTCCCTTCCCTCAGGCCCAGAGTGTGGCCCCTCCCCTGGGTGCCCCGCAGATGGCCTCCCCTCCTGGTCCCTGCCGCAGCCAGGCGCCCTGTGGCCAGAGCAGCGCCGGGTCGCTTCTTTCCAGGCGGGCATGAGACTCCTTCCCTGGCGCTTTCCGAGCACCCAGTGGGCAGACCTGTGCCAGCTGCCTGGCTCCAGGCTCCCTGTAGTCCCTTCCTCCCGTGGGGCCACCTGCCTGCTTCAATGGCTGGAAGGAAGTCTTTCCCTTAAAGGGGAAGGAGCTGGGAGGAGCTGGGGTCACTGGCCTGGCTGCAGAAACTGGCTCCTGGGAGAGGGGCCCGCAGGCAGGGCAGCACCTCGGGAGCTGGCCAGGCAGTGGACACCAGAGTCGGCTGGGGGTGGGGGTGCAGGGCTCGGGCAGCTGTTCAGCTTGGAGTGGGGAGGGGCTCCCGAGGGAGAAGCTGGATGCAGGAGGGCCGGGGAGGAGCCTGGGTCCAGCAGGCCCGTGAGGGGCTGGAGCCCAGTGTTGTACCCTCGGGCGATGTTTCTGGCTACCTCTATTAAGCACCTACTGTGTGCCTGAGCTGACGGTCCTATTTCCATCACTCCCTTCCCAGACCTGCTCCAGGGCACTCGGCACAGCCAGGGGTGGCAGGTGCGTGGGCGGCACCTGCCCTGCCCAGGCTCCTCCTCCCAGCCCTGGCCTCAAGGTGGGAGAACCCCAGTGCTGACCAGTGCCACCCCAGGGCCAAGTCCAGTGCCCCCGGAGGGCAGCCTGGCAGGGGGAGCCTGGGCAGAGGAGCTGGGTGCCCCGGGAGGCAGGACCCCCTCCTGGCCCCCCCAGCAGATGCTCCTGGCACCCATTGGTCCTTGAGGACCTCAATCAGGGAGCCCAATTTGGAGACAAAGGCCCAGCTCTGCGGACAAATACTCATGGGTATTGTCAGCCCAGGCCGCCAGGCAGCCGAGGCGAGGCCCACAAAGGGCCGAAGAAAGGGGCCGAGGGAGGGGCCGTGAATGGGCCTGGGCTGCACATGCCACCGTTGCCCGGGCGACGGCCCTCTCACGGAGAGGTCTGCCGGGCCATTGTCCGGGGCCCGCAGGACGTGTCACACACCAGATGGTCGTGTGCTGTCTAGGTCACTTATCGGGGGACAGAGTGAAGGAATGTGGCCGGCGCGGCAGGCCGGGCGCCATCTGTTCCCTCAGACGCGGGCATCGGGCGGGCACTGAGCGCTTGGCCGCTGGGCCCAGCCTGCACCGAGGCTTTAATTAGCTAATTCCATAATTGGACTTTATTTCAGGTAAATTGCATTTCACACCCGAGAGGGCTGCAAAGGCCCTTCCAGGAGCAAAGCCCTCGGGCACACAGTGGGTACGGTGGCAGCAAAGCGGGCGGCCGCCGCAGCCGGGCTTGCCGTGGCGGCTGGCCGGGCACCGTGGAGGGCCTGCCTCGAGTTGTCCTCGACGTGCGCGCCTCCCGTGGGTGTGGACGGGAGGTCAGTGCCAGTCAGGAGGACACCAGGGCCTCATGGGGGAGTCTCCAGGAGCCACAGGCCTGGGGGTGCTCAGCATGAAGGGACCTGGAGTTCATTCCCTGCCACCTCACACCTGGGTCCTCGTCCCCACTGCTGGCCACCCCCTGCTTGCACACCCTCAGTACAGCTCTGTCCTGGCACCCTCAGATGCCCTTGGCTCTGGTGGCCTGGTCAGGATGGACCTTGGAAGGACAGGGGTAGGACAGAGTCCCGAGCATTGAGACTGGCCTGAAGACCAGGGTGTCTTGTTCAAATTCACAGGCCGCTGCGAGGATGGCATGCCATGCAGTGAGCGGTGGGCATCGGCCCAGGGCAGGCAGATGGAGCCCACCTGGCATATGCCTTCCACCCAGAAGGCAGGACAGGTGGGGGACATCATCTTGCCAACAGGAGGTCGAGGCTGTGAGGGCTGGTGTGAGCACGGGGAGGCCTGGCCCTTCCTTGCATTCCACCACCTTAGAGGCCAATACTTGGGGTCCTGGAGAGGGGGCGTCCTGGGTCAAGGGCCAGCAAGGACTGCGTAGGGCAGATGGAGAGGCCCTGGCTTGTCTCTGAGGGTGGTTGCCCAGGGGCACATCAGTGCTGCCCCAGCCAGACCAGGCTCTGGACCAGACTTACCTGCTCTAGGTCCAGGGTCTGCTGGGAGACAGGCAGTGACCACACCGTGGTCCTGTGTGGCCAACCCCACCTGAAGTGGAATCCCCAGGGCCACCAGGGCTTTGACACGTGTCACAGCTCCTCTGAGCTTCTGAGCCCTCCAGTGTGGATAGGGAACACCTGATCAGGCTGCCTGGGCACCATAGGGGTCCCGCCGTGAGGGGCTGTGGACCAGGAGGGACAGTTTCCTCTCCAGGTAGGGGAGCTTGGACCAGGAGGGGCAGATGCCCAGGGCAGCCATGGGAGACAGGAGGGCAGGGCCCGAGGTCTCATTGATCCTCCAGAATCAAGGCGAGAGCAGGGCCAAGATCAACCACGGCGCTCCGTGTTTATTGGGGAAGGCTTGCGCAATCAGCAATCAAAATCACACCGTGACCTCATTAGAACAGACCCAGCCACCGCAGACCAGCCGGCGATGCCCGGAGGAGCCCGTCCCGCATGGAAATCCCCTGGCTTGGCAGCTGGTGAGGGGTGTGTGGCTCCGTCTGTGGGTCTGTCCAGCTGCTCCGACCAGGCGAGAATCACAGGCAGGGACCACATGCAGGGGTTGCTGTCCACAGGGGGTGGGAGAAGCTGCCTGTCCAGAGTGTGCGGTGGGCACCCCCATCCCCTGCCCCAGGGTCGAGCCAGGCTCTCAGGCCTTGTGGTAGGCTGTCCTCTGGTCATTCTGCCTGTGCCCTGCTGGGCCCTGAATTGGAGGCAGGGCTCAAAGACCCACAGACCCTATCCAGGCTACTCCTGTGTCTCCCCCAGGAAGCCCCCTCATCTAACCGGGCTGGCCCCCCTGGGCCTGGGCCGCATCCTGGCTCTCTGTGCCCAGGCCAGGCCCAATGCCCTGGGTATACCCTACCACCGTGCCCCAGCGGCCATGCACGTGACGCCGTCACCACAGTTGGGGTGATGGCCTAGCCTAAGAGGGGCCCAACACCCAGCTGAGTCCTAGTACCCGTTGGTGGGGAGGAGGTGGCTGGCCTAGCCCCTCAGCATGGGCTCTGCTGGTGGCATGGCTCCGATACGGGAACCACGTCGTTCTCCCAGGGGCTTTGGGGAGGTGGCCAGGTCCAGGTGGGTACCCTGCTAAGAGGGAGGTGGGGGGGGCCGCTGGGCTTCCACAGGCCTCCCCACCCAGGCCCACCCTGCCCAGCCCCCATCAGGATGTCTCATCAGGTCCTCTCTGGGGCACGGTCAGCTGTTCGTAGGTGGGCAGAGAGTTGCCGGGCAGGAAGAGCTTGGGGTGGACAGAGCCACCTTCGCTGCGGGACTGGACCACTTGGGCCCCGCCCCCACCAGGGGGTCCGCCCTGGTGCAGGGAGAGCAGCCGGTGGAGCAGGTCCGTGATGACCACCAGCCTCTGGTCCAGCTGCGTCACCTGCAGAGACAGGAACAGAGCCGAGTGTGAAGGTGGGGGCAGCCCAGTGCAGAGCCCCTCCAGCATCGCGGCAGACACGCCACTCATGACCTGGTCAGCGCTGCCCTCGACCCTGCCTGTGTGTGCATGTGCCTACTGTGGAGTCTGTGCCCCTCCACGGCCTCCCCTGGACCTGGCGGCTGGAGGTCTCTCAGCCTGCTCCCAGCCTCTGCAGCTCTGGCCAGGCCCTCAGGGGCATCCAGGTGACCTGGCTCCGGAGTACTGACTTGACCACCATCTTGAGCTCCCTGGGGCCAGGCCAGGCTCCTCCCGGGTGAGGTCARAGAGACCAGGGCTGTGTCTGCTCAGTCTGGAGGACATGAAAGCTGGACGCAGCCGGGCCTAGTGTAGCAGGACTGTGCTTGCGTGGCAGAGACCAGGGCTGGACACTGTTTAGGGCCTGGGAGGGTTCAGAGGACAGGGCCTGGAGGTGGCTTAGAGGTGGGTCAGGACCTGGAATGAACATGGCAGAGCGGGTGCCCCACAGAGGTGGCCCCCTGGCTGCTGGGCCAACAGAGAAGCCCCACATGAACCAGGAGCCAGAGGACGGTGTGGAAGAAAGAGGCCGCTGGCCCCGAGGGTAGTACAGATGAGAGGGCCCTGCCTGGGAGGCCAGAGCAGGCCGTGGGCAGTCAGAGGAGAGGGGTGCCCATCAGGAGCAGTGTGCTCTCCTGCATGGGGGTCTGGGGAGGTTGTGGGCTCCGTGGGTGGCTCAGGGCTGCGTTGGCCAGTTCTTGGCCTGCAGGGTTCTTGGGGTCGTCGTAGTCCCCTCCCCCACCGAGAGCCCTGGAAACTCCAGGAATGGGGGGGGGTGGGGACCTGAGGGCCAGGCCTGCAGAGCTGCTTCATGGAGCAGAGACCACGGAGACGACTCAGGCACGAGCTGCCTGCTGGGCCCTGAGGAGTGTGCCGGGCCTCTGTCCATCACACACGCACGCGCTGTCCCTGACAGGCTTGACCCCTGGGGCCCACCTGGGCCCTAGGGTTGGGGCCGAGCTGGAGTGTAGGGGTGCTGGAGGCAGAGTGGGCACCAACCCTGCGCTGGCCAGGTGGGCAGCCCGTTGATTCTGTGGGCCCAGGCCCAGCTCCCCAGGATGGGTGCCACGGTCCTCCACCCTCCTGTCTACAATTCTGGGTGCAGGGAAGGAGGAGCGGCAGCTTGGGGCCTGCCCAAGGGGCTGAGGGAGAGGAGCCGTCTCTCCTGGGTGGGGGCGGAAGGCCTGTCCTGCATCCCAGAATGACCGACAGGCTCCTTCCATGGCCAGGGCCTCTGCCCTCCCGGGAGGAGGAAGCCTGGTGTCCCCAACCTGGAGCCATGGTGGCTGCAGCATCTCCAGGACACTCCCAGTCCCTCCTGCTCTGCCTGCAGCCATCCCAGGCCCAGGGACAGCTGTGTGTTGAGGTGGACTGCCCAGGCCACGGGGGCCTCATTCCCTATTTTCCCAGGTGAACTTGATGTGCCCACACTGTGATGAGGCTGCAGGGCTGCCTGGCTGGGTTGGGCTGGGGGCCTGCAGCCACTCTGTGGCCCACCAGCATCCTCATTCTCTGGAAGTCACAGAGGACAGCCACCGCCAGCAGCCACAGAGGCCGATGCCAGGCTCGGCAGAAGAGGGGCCTGGCTCAGGGTCACTGTTGGGACCACTGAGGTCCACCTGGCCCCCTGCAGCCCCTGCCCCAGGGCTCCACACTCGGGGCAAAACGGGAGGATAGTTGGTGTTGGGTCAAGGGCAGAGCTAGGTAGGGGCTGGAACCAAACCCCCCAGGAGCAGTCGCTGAGAGCCGAGGGCGGAGCTGACGCAGGAGGGAGCAGCTGGGTAGAGGGCAAGGCGGGGGGTGTCCCTCTCATTCACCTGCTGGACCCCTGAGGCTCATGCTGCCAGCAGGACCAGCCCCCTCAGTCCCTACCTACCTCTGCCCTGGGAGAACAGTCGGGGGGCAGCCAGGTCTCAGGGACTGGGTGGGGAAACGAGGCCCAGGGGCTGCGGATGCACAGAAGGTGGGTGCAGCCAGCTCCAGGCTTGCTCCTTTTGGGTGGATCCTCCTGGACAGTGCCTGGGGCGCTGCCTGGCTTCTGGGCCTGGGTTAAGTTTGCTGGATATTGATTGGTTTGGCATTAATTAAAGCACCAAATACATTGCAGAGGAAAATCTGTGGTTTCATAAATTTTCACTTTACGGCGTCTGAACATCTGTTGGAGCCCCATGTGTGCTAAGGGGTTGGGAAGCCTTGTAGGGACTTCTTGGGGAACCTAATTCAGAGGATGGTGGCTGTTGGGTGTGGCTCTGTGTTGAGCCACCTTGGGGTGACAGGGAGGACAAGCATCGTGGAGAGCTGTGCTCAGCCTCCTGCAGAGGAATGGGGTGGGAGCATGGGGTAGGGTGGGGGTGGTGGCTACAGGCGGAGCGCAGCTGAGCCTCCCTTCCGGTGCCACCAAAGGAGTCCCTGACGCGCCCTGCTGGGGCTGGTTCCCAAGCTCATTGTGACCCTGTGGCTGTGGCTATGCAACTGGTGTTTTGAGGGACTGTCAGGGTCTCTGGTCCCCAGGGATGTCTCATGAGTGGGCTGCTGGGTCCCTGAGCTGGCCAGAGTCTGGGGCCTCACACTGCCCCCTCCTCACATAAGAAGAACAGGGCTGGGAAGGCAGGGAGAAAGAGTGGACCTCTCCAAGCCTCTGGGTGCCGGGGTGGATACCTGGGTCCCTCTGGCCATCTGTGGGGTCCCCCAGCTCCCCCCGCTGCCTGCAGGATCTTTCTGAGTAATCCTGGTCACCCACAGGGCTGTCCTGCATTGTGGGCTGCTGTACGTCCTCTGGGGTCATCTAGTCACCTCTGGGTCCTTCCCACACTGTCCTGGCTGCCGTGGGGTCCCCCAGATGCACGCCTGGTGGGGAGAGCTGCTCCTCCAGACCAGCGTGGACACCATGTGCTCCTCCGGGCCGTCCCCCAGAGCTTGGTGTCTGACCTCAGTGCCCAGGCCCCGAGGCTGGGAACAACACTGTTGGCCTGTTGGCTCTGCTGGGCCCAGTGGGGTGGGGTGGAGCTGCTCAGACTGGTCCTGGAGGCCAAGGGAGACACAGGTACTGGACCTGGTGAGGCTTCCTTTCCTCTTCTGACAAGCGAGCGTTCCCAGCAGGTCACGTGCTGGGGTGGGGAGGAGCTTGCTTACCTGCACCTCCGCGGGGTGCCAGGGCTCTGGGGGCACCCTGTGGAAGGGGCCTTCCCTGCCCTGCCTGCGTCCAGCCCTGCTGACCTGCCACGGGAAGGGCCCTGGCCTGGGCTTAGGGTGGCTCCTGTCAGCCCCAGACCTCAGTTCCCGAGACAGCACTTCACACAGAGATGGTCCCTGAGCTGCCTGGCCCGGGTCCCCCCTCTGGGGTCCTGTTGATGCTGCCGAAGGAGCGGAGGGGAGCCCTCACCAGCAGCCCAGGGAGAGGCCGGCCGGGCGTCCACCCCAGGAGACGCCTCTGAATGGGCAGGTGCCTGCAAGGCGCTGCCACCTTTGAGAGAAGGCACTGGCTGGTGTTCCCCAAGAGCCATGAGACAGATCAGTTTTGGGATCTCAGATCTCGCCACTATCTGCAGTTTGATAGAAATTAAAAGGGCAGGGCCAACAGAAGCCCCTTTGTGCCCTGCCTCGACTCAGCGATTAATAACCATAGACGACTTACGCGGGCTTCGGAAGAGAGCAAAGCAACTAGAATAACAGCTCGTCAGAGGCCCTCGGCGGCTGCTGATCAGACCCGAGGCAATGGGGGATTCTGTTTGATGTGGTTATGAATTTGTTTTCAAAAGAAAATCTTGAAAAAGAGTCTTTCAAGAGAAATTTTTGCAGAACCTGCCCAGCCTTGATCCCTGCTTGGGACCCCCAAGGCCTGGATCCTCGGACTGCCTTAGCCAGCCGGGCAGGCCAGGCCAGGCCAGGGAGGCTAGGGCCCAGCCCCAGGGGAGGAAGCCGSTGATGTGCCCGGGCTGGACGCCCTGGGGCAGCAGCCCATGCTTCCCTGGGAGCCTTGTTGGATGGTGTTCAAGGCAAGGTGGTCCTCCTAGAGGGGCAGCCCAGGGTCCCTGTGGGGTCACAGGGTGAAGGCCACCCTGGGAGCCACCCTCAGGGCCAACCTCAAGATGCTTAATGCTGGCATGGGGTCAGTGGGTGCCAGCCCTGGGGGACCCAGCACTGTTTAAGGAATATGGCGGTGCCATGTCACCTGGGGACTCCACAGCCCCTGGGGCAGGGGAGGCAGGTTCCTGCCTGCCTGGGCCCAGAACTGGTGTCCACGGTGGGGCTGGGTCCTTGATGCTTTGTCAGGTGGGTGTCGCCTTAGAGGCTATGAACCAAGGCCCTGTCCCACTGCTGTCCTCACGTCTCTCACCATTCTGCCTGCTGGGTGGCCAGAAGAGGTCACACCGTGGAAGTGACCTGAGCCACTGCCACCATCAGCCCTACCATGGCCCCATGACCAAAGGCCTCTCCGGAACGCAGGCTCCTGCCCTCTGATGGGTGCCAGGGCAGGAAGAGTCCTCCACCAGGTTCACCGGCATGGCCTCAGGCTTCTGCCAGCTCCTCCTCCTGAGGGGGGCCAGGCCCTAGCAAGTGGCCCCCAGGGTGGGGCCGACCCTGCCCTGCCCCCACACTCAGTCTGGGCCCCTCTGCTGGCCCCTCTGCATGAAGCCGTGTCTTCCTGGTGCTCCAGGACCCCATCTCCAGGCCATACCGGTGCACCTCAGCTCGGCAGGCCGATGAGGACGCACAGCCCCAGCGGCCACCAGCCTTCTCCTCCATCGCCCACACGGTGTGACCGGCTCTCCAGACGCCTGCTTTAGACCACTTCCCACCGGCTGGGGGCCTTTGCCCCTCCCGAGTCCTAGTTCTCCTCTTTCCTTCTTCACCTTTTCCTGTAGCCATGTCCTCCCTGGGTCGTCCGGGCCTGTGCGTGCTTGAACAGTCTTCCCCAGACCAAT